CAATCTTGATTTCCTCTCAACTCCTTGTGGAGAAGGAGATGTGCCTCCCGAAGTTGAACCTGGCAGAGTGGTGGATGACAATTATAGTGATGAGGAGATGGACGTTGATGAGCTGGAGAGGAGGATGTGGAGAGATAAAATGCTACTCAGGAAGCTTAAAGGGCAGAAGAAGATTAAGGAGGGAGTAGATGATGGCATGAAGCAGCACCAATCGCAGGAGCAAGCACGCAGGAAGAAGATGTCACGTGCACAAGATGGCATATTGAAGTACATGCTCAAAATGATGGAGGTTTGTAAAGCTCAAGGTTTTGTGTACGGAATTATCCCTGAAAATGGTAAACCTGTTACTGGTGCCTCTGATAACCTTCGTGCCTGGTGGAAGGAGAAGGTTCGGTTTGATAGGAATGCTCCTGCTGCAATTGCCAAGTATCGGGTAGCACATTCTATCCCCGGAAAGGTTGAAGATTGCTGTGACATAACATCAACTCCTCATGCACTACAGGAGCTTCAGGATACTACTCTGGGGTCACTCTTGTCGGCTCTGATGCAGCACTGTGATCCACCCCAAAGGCGGTTCCCTTTAGAGAAGGGTATACCCCCACCTTGGTGGCCTAGTGGGATTGAGGACTGGTGGCCTGATTTGGGCCTACCAAAGGATCAAGTTTGTCCTCCATACAAAAAGCCTCATGACTTGAAGAAGGCTTGGAAGGTGGGGGTTCTGACAGCGGTTATTAAACACATGTCACCTGACATTTCTAAGATTCAGAAGCTTGTTAGACAATCTAAATGTTTGCAGGATAAGATGACTGCCAAGGAGAGTGCTACTTGGCTTGCCATCATAAATCATGAGGAAGTTTTGGCTCAGAAGCTTTATCCTGATATCTATCCACGTATGTTCTCTGAGGCTGGAAATGGGTTGTATTCTTCAGTGGAATCTAATGACTATGATGTTGATGGGGTGAATGGTGAGGGAAGTCTTGATGCAAACTGTGAGCCCCAAAATCTCTTGAAAATGGGCATTGATGTATCCAAAGATGGGAAGATGCTTCCGTCATTGGCTCCAGTTAAAGGAGAAGTTGTTGATATTGACCCAGAACTCATCCACAAGAGGAAATTTATGTCAAATGAGGGAGACTTGGACCAAAAAATCTATACCTGTCAGAATCCTCAGTGCCCTTATAGTGGTTACAATATGGGATTTCATGACAGAACATTGAGGAACAATCACCAGATTAACTGTCCATACAGATTGAGTGCTTCTCAAAATCTTGGCATAATGAACTATCAGCCATATAAGAAGAAGCCAGAGGTCATCTCTGCACCATCCGTTCAACTTAAGCCGGCTTCTCAGCCCATGATTGAGCATCCCTCTTGTTTGAGTATTTCTAAACTTGGAATTCCAGAAGATGGTCAAAAGATGATTTCTGGCCTCATGTCTATGTATGATGACAGCGTACAAGAAAAGACTTGTTTTGATTTTGGAATTGACACTGCTGCCGAAGATCAAAACCTTCAACAACAGATTATACAGCTCCATGGAGACCAAAGCTTCTTCAGGCCGGGAGTTACAATGGGAGGCAGTATATCGAAAGAAACATCTCTTACTCTGAGCCACTCTGCATTTCCATCAACTGAATTTCTTTATGACAATGGTAACTGCAAGTCAACGGATGATTCAGGATTCAATGGCAACCTAAACAGCAACTTGGATTTCAGCTTCGGTCCTGAATTTAATATGGAATCAGTTGATTATTCAATGGATTTGTTCCCAAAGGAGGATATAACAACATGGTACACTTGAAGCTTCTTCCTCACTATGTCAAGACCTCGGTTATTAATCTTAATTAGAAACACTGCAATATTGTTTGGTAATCTACTTGGAAAGGTTCCAGATGTGAAAGTAAAGAGCACTGTGAAATGAGCATCCTTTTTTTAACTATTGTTTTAAGTCATTAGAAGTGGTGGTAGTTGGCTTGTTCCTTAGAGTATGTATAGTTTTCACCTATGGTTTGTCTACATACTTCATGTACTTATCAGTGTTACTCTTTTGTCCTATAACGAGCTGAATTTATATGAATGATGGAGCTAGTTTCATCCGATAATTGGCATATTATTTCTGCATTGCTTTCCATAATTTTATTTCCATTCTGTTGTGACTTGGACTTTTGGTTCTTAGATCTCCAGCTTTACTTTGTTGGACGGTACCTACTGCAAAGCACGGGGAAGAAAGTATTGATGGTTTGCTATAAACCTGATTTACTTTATTAGCTTTCGCAAATCAGAGGTTGATTCACATGTTGCTATCCCATTGAACTTCTAATGATTTTGCACCCTAGTTGATACAAGTTTAAAGCAAGCCTGTTCCGTACTTAAATCTGATCATCATGCTATACAACTTAAGTTCAAAGTGAACTTGAATAATCGAGTGGCAATAGGAAAATTCGGATAGCAAGAAGCAAGTTCCATGTTCATCATTGGGTAATCATATTCGATTCATGCAATTATGCAGGGAGTTTTAGACTTAATTGTTGTTTTCGTATGTCTGGCATATGTGTTTTTTTAAATCTTGATTGCAATCTTTGTTTTTCAATTTCTTTAATGGTGGATTGCCATTGATGTCTTCACTGTTAAATGATTGTTCAGGCATTTATGATCACAGATATGTTTTCCAACTTTGACATCGCTAAGTTTGAGTTTGCTAGACTTGGGGCGGGCACAATTGTTAATGATGGGATTTTGTGTTGGTGATGTATTTGTTATATGTTGATGCGATTTACAATTACACTAATAGGTGAAATATTTTGCTTATGGCCACCAACTATTATAACTGAACAATATTGTTGAGTTAGTGTACATATCTTGTGAAAAATAGAAATGTACTCAACCGGACCATTATTTGTGCCGATCCCAATTCTGAGTTTACCAAATTTATCCTGAAGCTGGGGCTCTACAAGCAGGGAAAGTAGCTTTTGCCCGGGTAAGTGTATGTGTTCCGACAGATTAGCAGATGTTCATCATTAGCATTACAGAGAATTAGACTAATGGGACTACAAATTTCTGGATGCTCTAAGGACTCTTGTGCAGTCAAGTTCTTGTAACAATAAAATGAACTTTTTTATTTGGAACGAAAACTAGCTGTCCTATAGATGGTTTTGTTACTTTGTATCATGTCTAACTATGAACTATAGATCGTTTTGCATCATATTAATATATGAACCGCACATGATTTTGTATCATGTCAAACTAGGTGTAATTAACCCAATCTGGATAAATTTGTAAAGTACATTATGGCCGCCACTTTGGATCCTCCTAAAAATCTTTGCAACAAGCAGTTTTAATTAGAGGTACAATAATCATTTAGGCTAACAACATATATCTTAAGTTTTTATTATTCTTATACAAAAAAAAAAAAAAAGAAGTAGACAACTGTTATATTTATTGTTGTCATGTTGTGCTTAGTTTCAATTTTCTTCAACTTTTTCTCTATTCAAGTGTTAATTTTTAATTTTCAAATGGGATAGCGAAAAATGTTCATATTTTTAGAGGGGCAATATGTGAGTTTAAAGGAAATTTCACAAAAAGTAAGGGGTGCAACTGTGATTAACTGAAAACCTATAAAAAGAGAAAAAAAAAACTTGCAAGCCTAATTTCTAATTTTGAAAGGTGAGGGAAGGGAAGGAGATGGGGATGGGGCAATTACCCACCCTCACAATTAGAGGTGGCAATTTGGATTGACATCCATTTATCCATCCATATAATTTATAATTAAATGGATTTGGATTATTCATTTATAGTATTAGTTTTAAATGATTGATCAAAATAAAATCATTAAATTATATAGATTTATATGAATTATCACAAAAATCACATATATCCATTTATATTAAATCCATGGTTAGCTCATGGACACCTCTCCCTTCTTGCAACTCTCCAAAAAACTGACCCAAAAGAATTTCCAAATATACTTCTGTTCTACGGCCATTAACCTCAGTTTTGTCAAGAAAAATTTAGGTGAAAGCTCATTTGACAATTTAAGATTAGTAGAACTTTTTCATTTGCCAGACGTTCCTGAACTTCCTCCATGCTATCACACAACAACGAAACTTCAAACTACCACCCCATCTCATGTCAACCCTCGAGAACTGATTAATTATTGATCCAATACCAAGGCCTGCAGTGGAAAGCCCTATTTGGCAGCAGAAGACGCTTAAGCTCAATCTCGGTGGCATTCTTCACGCAACTTCTCACTGACGACGTCATACAAAAAAGTTGTACCTCAAATCAGCACGTAAAAAAGCACATATCCAGCATCATAAGAATAATTTACATGAATCAGTGATCATTAATCTATTTGGGGTCGGGATTCATTAAACAAGACTAATTTGTTTAGCTATTCATGAAGGCGTTGTTACTAGCACTATGCTTATTATGTTTATGAAGTGCTTGATGAAATTCCCCTGAGAACGTTTGTAGTGGGGCAAATCCACGTGTGACACGTGTCAGCTCGGCATACTGCACGCACCAGGTCGGCGATAGAGACCTCGCAGCTCGCACGGGCCAGCTCGGCATGAGGGAGCCAGCTCGGCCGTTCCAGTTGCCTCCTGTGGTGGGCCTGGTGGGCTGCCGCCTCCGAACATTTAGGGACCGTCGCATAAAACCCTAAGAAGACTCCGAACCCTAAGGGAATTTTGACTCCCATAAGAAAACTACAACCCATCCAGTCCTATATATACTACGCCCCAAGACTACACAAGGTACGCATACACAAGCATTCTATACTGCTACCCTATTCACAAACTCTACTGACTTGACCGTCGGAGCTATTCCGGGGACCTTAGTCCCGCTTTCATTCTTTCCTTACAGGGCCACCAGCTCGGTTCCCCCACTCAGGTCGGCTGCTCCTACCCTGCTAGGCTCGAGGCAGCTCGGCTCGGACTACGTTTTTGGCTGTCGCATCAATTGGCGCCGTCTGTGAGAACGTAATTCTTCTTTTGCGAATCATGCCAAGGACGAGGTCTCAGAGAAACGCTGGTGGATCTAAGGGGAACGGGGGAAGCAGTCCCCAAAACCCCACACAGGGTCCAACTCCTGGAGAAGAGGGCGCGGGACTCTCGCGAATTCCACCCGAGCAACTGGTCCAGACGGTGGCAGAAAACCTACCAACCTTTGACGCCATTATGAACTACCTTAAGGGGCAGACGGGAGGTCATCCCGGTCAGGGGCCAAAGAGCCAAGGGGATGGGTTGTCCGAATCTCGGACGGGGAGCCCTAACCCCTGGCCCAAACGGGTGCGCCGGGAACTCACGCGTGACCAGGTCGACGTCGTGGAACCCTCTCACAAGCATTCCCGAACTGAGCACCCGGAGCCCTACCGGAGGTATTCCAAGGAGGAGCTTTCACCGCGGAAGGAGCAGCTCCAGGTACAGGATGAGCTGGATCTACTTTTGGACCCCGAGGCGGATAGGTACATCGTTTCCCCCTTTATGCCGAACATCGAGGACTACCCGTTGCCTGCGAAGTTTAAAATACCAAGTATGAAGTCTTACGATGCGACGATGGATCCGGAGGATCACTTGTTTGCCTTCATGAGTCAAATGCGTCTGCAAACTGCTGCAGATGCGGTCAGGTGCAAAACCTTTCCAGTGTTTCTGGAGGGAAAGGCACGTCAATGGTTCCAGGGGCTTCCCCCCAGGTCCATCCGGTCCTTTGCCCAGCTAGCTCGACTGTTCGCAGCCCAGTTCGTTTCGTCACGAGCCTTCTCCAAGAGCACTGCGCATCTGATGACTATTCAACAGAAGTCAGAGGAGTCCTTGCGCGAATACATGGTGCGCTTCAATAACGAGTCCCTTCAGGTTCGAGATCGCGACGACAAGGTGGCCATGGCCGCCTTCATCAACGGGCTGCGCAAACAGAAGCTCTACACCGAGCTCGTGGAGAGACCTCCCAAGTCAGTTCGGGAGATGCTGGACCGGGCACATGAGAAGGCCAACGCGGAGGAGGCTAACCGCTTGAAGAGCGCGCAGGAAAGGCTGAGGGATGACAAGCGCAGAAGGGGCGTTGATCAGATGGATGCTCGGCCCGGTCAGGGAAGGAAGAGCACTTATGACCGCCTCCCCAGGAGCCGCCCAATCGGAGGAGATAAATCCTGGACTACCCTCACCGCACCTCGAGCTCAGGTCCTCGCGGTGATGGAACAGGAAGGGCTCTCCCGACCTCCTCGACCTTTGGTCGGGGACAAGAGCAGACGGGACCAGGGTCTGTACTGCGCATATCATCGAGACGTGGGGCATGATACGGAGGACTGTCGTCACCTCAAGAAAGACATCGAAAAACTAATCAAACGAGGTCACCTTGGGCAGTTCATACGAGATGAACGAGCTGACCAGCAACGGGGAAGGCCCAGGTCGGAGCGCCCGAACTACCCCAATGGCCGACCTCAAGGACCTCGCGGCCGAACTCCCAAGCAGGAAGCTCAAAACCTAGTTGGGGTGATTAATACTATCGCCGGAGGACCTGTTGGAGGGGATTGCCATACAGCTCAGCGGCACAACCGTCCCTCTCCTACGGGGGAGAGCTCGAGCAGGCGATTGAAAATGTACGAGAAAATTATCTATGGACCTGAAGATGCAGTCCCTCTGGCCTCTAATAATCATGAAGCAATTGTGATAGAGGTCATCACCTGCAATTACAAGGTGAAGAAAGTATACATAGACAATGGAAGTGCCATAGATGTGCTGTATTACAAGACTTTTAAGGAGCTACAGCTGGAGGATAGACAGCTCGTTCCAGTCCAAACTCCGTTGATCAGTTTTACAGGCCCTCCCGTAAGGCCGGAGGGAATGATAACCCTCATGGTCACGGTGGGGGTATCCCTAAGGTGCCGAACTGTTCTCGTAAACTTTGCGGTGGTGAAAGAGCCATCGTCGTACAATATGATCTTGCGGCGGCCTACACTGAATGCCCTCCGAGCTGTTTGCTCCACCCTGCACCTCAGTATGAAGTTTCCTACTCCTGCCGGAGTGGCAGAGGTGCTCGGGGATCTGGAGGTGGCAAGGGCATGCTACATCGCCACTCTCAAGGGTAAGGAGAAATTGGTGGCTCAAACAGTTTGTTTAGAGCCCTGGGAGCCCATGGAGAAAGGGAAAGAATTGGAGACAGACGAGGGATTGGCCGAGCTGCCCGTCCACCCCGACCGACCTGAACGCACGGTAAAGGTTGGCACCTGCCTAGACGAGCTGACCAGAAGTTCTTTAGAATCTCTCTTGGAAGAATACGCTGAGATTTTTCCTTGGAGTGCTGATGACATGCCAGGGATCCCCACCGAACTGGCAGTCCATAGGCTACACGTGGATCCCAATGTCTCACCTGTCAGACAGAAAAAGAGGAACTTTGCTCCCGAGAGAAAGGAGGTCGTCAAAAGCGAGGTGGGTAAATTGTTGGACGCTAAGATCGTCAAGGAAGTCTATTACCCGACCTGGCTCGCCAACCCGGTGCTGGTCAAGAAGGAGGAAAGAGCTTGGAGGATGTGTGTGGATTTCACTAACTTAAATAAGGCTTGCCCGAAGGACTGCTACCCACTCCCACGGATTGACCAGCTCGTGGACTGAACAGCTGGCTATGAGATCTTCTGCTTCTTGGACGCCTTCAAAGGATACCATCAGATAGCACTGGACAAGGAGGATCAGGAGAAGACCTCGTTTATCACCGAGGATGGCACATATTGTTACGTCACCATGCCATTTGGGCTAAAAAATGCAGGAGCGACCTATCAGAGGCTGGTAAATAAGTTGTTCAAAATCAGATCGGCTGAAACCTGGAGGTCTATGTGGATTACATGTTAGTGAAAAGTCGAACTCAGGAGCAGTTTATCTCGGACCTAAGAGAAATCTTCGATGTTCTTCGAAGTTCACGAATGCGGCTAAACCCATAGAAGTGTACCTTTGGAATTAGGTCGGGAAAATTCATGGGTTACATGATTTCCAAAGACGGGGTGAGAGCTAACCCGGACAAGATCAAGGCCATCATGGACATGGCCCCACCCCGGAATATCAAGGAGGTGCAACGTCTGACGGAGAGGATGGCAGCTCTGAACAGGTTCTTGTCCAAGTCGGCAGTTCGGGGGGCTCCTTTCTTCAAAGCCCTGAAAGGAGGTCGGCAGTTCGAATGAAGCCCGGAGTGTCAGACAGCGTTCGATGAACTGAAGGCCCACCTCGCTCGGTTGCCGGCCCTGACCTCTCCCGAGCCAGGAGAAACCTTGTTCATCTACTTAGCTGCGGGAGAGGGGGACATTAGCGCGGTGCTAGTGCGAGAGGAAAACAAAGTCCAGAAGCCCGTATATTATGTTAGCCGCGCCCTACAGGGGGCCGAAACGAGGTACTCGGCGGTAGAACGATATATTTTGGCATTAGTGCATGCAGCTTGGAAGTTTAGGACGTACTTCCAAGCTCACCCCGTGGTGGTCATGATGGACCAGCCCCTGAAGCAGATCCTTTTCAAGCCCGAGTCCTCGGGCCGAATGGTGAAGTGGGCTGTGGAGTTGTCAGAGTATGACCTGGGTTATCAGCCCAGGACGGCCATCAAAACCCAAGCATTGGCAGACTTCATAGCGGATGGCGTTTCCTTTGGATCGTCCGAAACGGGGGTCGATCGGGCCAGAGACATACAGGCCAGGAAGGACGGAGAAGTGGCTAAAGATGCGCACACCGGACAAGTAGCCGAAACCTTAGAGACCCCAAAAACTACCAAGGCCGTCCAGACCCGAGAGGCAGCCGAGGTCCTGCAGGCTGGAGACGCTGCCGAGGTCGCCCAGTGTGACGCCCCGAAAAAAATGAGTTTGAGAACCCGGAAAATTTCTAATTTTCTAGGGTTTATTTTTTTTAACGCCCGTCTTTTCTACATTTTCTTGATTAGAAAAATTCTCCAGATAAAGTTTACGAGCAAAAATAGTTTTAAAATGATTTTTCTAGTATCGGTTAGTTTTTGAGAAATTAAAAGCGTATTTTGGACGTGGGACCCGCAAGTGCGGTAAATGCATTATATTTTTGACAACTTGATGGAATTTTGTATTAAATGATATTATTTTACAATGTGTTAAAATATTTGTATTGGAGAGACAAAAAGATAAAATTAAAACCCTAAAGGACCATTTGTCACAAAACCATTGGACCTTGACTTTTGACCAAGACTTTTCTAACTTTACTAAAACCAATTTGGACCCAATTTTTCTCCCATTTTCTTGTCATGGCCGGCTGTTAAGAGGAGCAAAATAAGAGAGGAAAAACTTCATTTTCTACTCCACTTTCTAGCTTCAATCTTACTCCAATCTACCAAATCAACCATTGAATCTTGTTTTTGCTCCATAGAAAACATTAAGTGAGTATTTGTGAGGTGTTTATTGGAGTGATTTGGAAGATTTAAGTGCAAGGTTGCTCCATCTCTTTGGTTACCAAGGTGACGGTGAAGGATCCCTTTCCTCCCTTAATGGATGCTTAAATCATGATTGGTGGTGGTATGAGATGCAATATTATGGATTATTTCTTGATTTGTGGTTGAAGTGATGAAGTTTTATTATTTTTGGGGATTTTTCTGTTTTAATATGAACATGATTGTGTGGCTACATATGATGATTGGAAATGATGTTTAAGGACTCTATGAGGTGAAAAAAGTGATTAATTGCAACCAATTTCTGTTTTGGACCAAAAATTGAAAAGTGAGGGTTTTGTGATGAACATTCTGTCCGAATTTTTAGGTCCTAGATAGAGGCCGAATTGGCCTTAGCTCAAAACATGAAAGTTGTAGGAAATGATATTTTATAGGTGTCTACAAAATTTCAGGTCAATCGGAGTAGTGTAGAATGAGATAAGTCGAAATTACTATTACTGTTTTGGTTTTACCCGAAATTGGGATTTGCTTCTGTAATTGGTTGTTTTGGTCTGGATTGCTTCCGAATGAGTTGTTGAGGCCTTCTGATGAAATTTAACCCTGTTTATTAGCTTTCAACTGGTTTTGGAATTTCTGGATTTGGACTTGGAGAGCCTGAGTTATGATGTTTCCGCTAGAATGCGTTCTGTGAAGCTGTTTTTGTGATTCTGGTGTAGTTTCTTGTGTTTTTGACCTGGTTACACTCGAAACTGGGTTGAGTGACCTTCTATAATATTGTACCCCTATCTCTTAGCTTCGAAACGGTGGGTCTTGTACCTTCATCCGACAATCGTAGCGCCTTTGGTACCATTACCGCAAAATGACGTCAAAAGCTATTTTCTGGTTTTGAGCTTAACCTTCATTTCCGAACTTTTCCCTAGCTTGACTTGTACTAGTACTACTTGAAGCTTGTTGAATGGCTATTGGATGAACTTGTTGTTGTGTGTGTACCTTTGGGACTGGCTGAAAAAATAATGAAGCCATGATGGCTGGGAAAGTAAGCAAATGTAGGGGAAGTGTTGTCCGAAGTTTTAAAGGGTTTGATTGCTTTGAGTTTGTGATCTAAGACTTGGATTTGAGCAAGGCAATGATATATGATGGATGGTTTCTGAGCCACGGAGGTGAGTGACCCTAAACTATTTCCAAAGTACTTGTGAAACGTTTCTTGCAATATTTACTTTTGAACTGTTTCCAAAGTTACTTTTGAACTATTTCCAAAGTTACTTTTGAACTGTTTTCTTGCATATCATGTGTGCTTATATGAGAGTGTTCCTTGTTTGATATATTTCCTTGACTTATGGGCTTGTTATTATGGATTGATAATGTGTTAAGTGTTTTCAATGATTGTTAAAACGAGTTTTCAGGGCGAGTGTGTACTTTATCGCACTCGACCTAAATAAATGTGAAATTTTCATGATTAATGATTAAATGCTACTTGCGCATGAATGTAAGCCTTTTGGGCTGAACTGGCCATTGCCCCTTGTTACCGGTCGTCTCGAGTCAGAAGAGGACTCGGTCGGGCGATTAGGGACCTGGGTGAACGTTTGGTATGCTCGAGTATTACCTTTGTAGGTTGGTGGAGGTTGGTGGAGCTTGGACGATGTCCGGGAAAGGTTGAATGAAAAAAATGCATTTTCAAAAGAAAAAAAAAAAGAAATGTCAGGAGAACGAGCGCGCGCGGGAACATTTGGCTCCTTGTGAGCCCGTATCTTTTTAATGAATGTGTTCTTATTGCTTTCCATGCTAAATGTTTCTTGAATTATTGATACTCCATATTTATTGTATTAAAAATGTTGTAATTGTTTCTGGACTTATCATTTGATTTATGACATCATTGAAATGAACTATTATGAAACCGATTTGATTATTGATTTTTCTGGTTACTCGCTGAGCTTCTAGCTCACCCCAAAAATATTTTATTCCCCTCCACAGGGCTCGTGGCGAAGGAAGGACTTGTAGTACTTGTTCACGTGACTGGTTTGCATATATCTTGTATAATTTGGATTTGGAATCATTTTATGTATAGTTGAGAGTCGTTTCCGCTTCGCTTATGACATGTAATTATTGGAGACTTGGATGTATGTTTGTGGACCATGTGATGTATATTTGAGATTTGTATTGTAATTCATTTGAGGACTGTAGTGAACAATTGAGTCCCGGCGAGATCTGGGCAGGCGACCCGCCAAACCCTCTGGTTCGCCTTAGGGGGAGGTGGGGCCGTCACAGTTGGTATCAGAGTTTAGGCTTCACATCTCTGTAGTGTATCCTAGGCTTGAAGTTTAGAATGCCGGACTGTGGGTTTGATTTGACTCTTGAGAGATTTGTGCGGGATGTCTTGACTTGATTGGTATAAGAGGGAATGTCGAGTGCGACATTCTTTTAAGGAGGGGAGATTGTGACGCCCCGAAAAAAATGAGTTTGAGAACCCGGAAAATTTCTAATTTTCTAGAGTTTATTTTTTTTAACGCCCGCCTTTTCTATATTTTCTTGATTAGAAAAATTCCCCAAATAAAGTTTATGAGCAAAAATAGTTTTAAAATGATTTTTCTAGTATCGGTTAGTTTTTGAGAAATTAAAATCGTATTTTGGACGTGGGACCCGCAAGTGAGGTAAATGCATTATATTTTTGACAACTTGTTGGAATTTTGTATTAAGTGATATTATTTTACAATGTGTTAAGATATTTGTATTGGAGAGACAAAAAGATAAGATTAAAACCCTAAAGGACCATTTGTCAGAAAACCATTGGACCTTGACTTTTGACCAAGACTTTTCTAACTTTACTAAAACCAATTTGGACCCAATTTTTCTCCCATTTTCCTGTCATGGCCGGCTGTTAAGAGGAGCAAAATAAGAGAGGAAAAACTTCATTTTCTACTCCACTTTCTAGCTTCAATCTTACTCCAATCTACCAAATCAACCATTGAATCTTGTTTTTGCTCCATAGAAAACATTAAGTGAGTATTTGTGAGGTGTTTATTGGAGTGATTTGGAAGATTTAAGTGCAAGGTTGCTCCATCTCTTTGGTTACCAAGAAGAGGTTTTTATATTCTGCTCGGTCCCTGTAAGCAACAAAGGGTTAAGGAATGTGTGAGTTTTGGCTAAAAGTAATGGTTTTGGTCTTGGTCATATGAACATAAATGCATGGGATAAGTTGTAAGTTTGGTGGCAGAAAAATCGCAGCAATAAACCTTTGAATGTATGCCGAGCTTGCCAGTTGTATCATCTCATATTTCCGTTGCTTGCATCTTATGTGGCATGATTGTTTTATGGGAGTTGGGTTTCACAGAAACGTTTAAAGTCTTTTGCAAAACTGTCTTTAGTTGTTAATAAGCTACAAAGTGGTAGAATCCGGAAACCAACAGTAAGAGAGCAGAGCTTCAACCATGCTGCGTTTCTTTTGTGTTTCTTGACGTCTTGGCTTGATTCCTTTGGTTGGAATAGATGAGGGTAGGCATCCATGTTTGGGCTATGTTAAAGTTTATGTTTGAAGATGTGTGTGAGTTTGATGATGAATGACAAGTTTGGGTACAATGTTTTTCGGTATTTTCATCCATGAGAGTATGAGTGGCTGCAATTTTTGCAGCAAAACAGAAAACTCTATCTCAAATTTTCCTGAGTTGCGTAGGCTGCTAAATGGTTTCAGTTGCAGAATGTTTTCCTTTGTAGGCTTGCTGCCTTTTTGTTTTCCCTTGGCAGAAAGTCTTGTCCAGCCAAGTAGCACTCTCCTTGGCAGTCATCTTATCCTGCAAACATTTAGATTGTCTAACAAGCTTCTGAATCTTAGAAATGTCAGGTGACATGTGTTTAATAACCGCTGTCAGAACCCCCACCTTCCAAGCCTTCTTCAAGTCATGAGGCTTTTTGTATGGAGGAAAAACTTGATCCTTTGGTAGGCCCAAATCAGGCCACCAGTCCTCAATCCCACTAGGCCACCAAGGTGGGGGTATACCCTTCTCTAAAGGGAACCGCCTTTGGGGTGGATCACAGTGCTGCATCAGAGCCGACAAGAGTGACCCCAGAGTAGTATCCTGAAGCTCCTGTAGTGCATGAGGAGTTGATGTTATGTCACAGCAATCTTCAACCTTTCCGGGGATAGAATGTGCTATCCAATACTTGGCAATTGCAGCAGGAGCATTCCTATCAAACCGAACCTTCTCCTTCCACCAGGCACGAAGGTTATCAGAGGCACCAGTAACAGGTTTACCATTTTCAGGGATAATTCCGTACACAAAACCTTGAGCTTTACAAACCTCCATCATTTTGAGCATGTACTTCAATATGCCATCTTGTGCACGTGACATCTTCTTCCTGCGTGCTTGCTCCTGCGATTGGTGCTGCTTCATGCCATCATCTACTCCCTCCTTAATCTTCTTCTGCCCTTTAAGCTTCCTGAGTAGCATTTTATCTCTCCACATCCTCCTCTCCAGCTCATCAACGTCCATCTCCTCATCACTATAATTTTCATCCACCACTCTGCCAGGTTCAACTTCGGGAGGCACATCTCCTTCTCCACAAGGAGTTGAGAGGAAATCAAGATTGCCAAAGATTCCCGTTTCATCAAACATTCCCGTTACGCAGAAAAGGCCTACTTCTATTTCGAAAAATCAATTTCACTTAATAGTCTCTCTGGCAAAAACAGAAAAGTTCACTTAGTAGATCAAGGCGAACGAAGAAACCAAGCTAATCAGGCAAAAACAGATCAAATATGACTCAACAGAATCCACTTCCGCAGAAATAATTGCAAAATACATCATTCAGAGGCAGTGTAAAAATTTATACACAAAATATAAGTACATAAAACAATTCTCTTGAATACAAAACAACCGTAAATTAATCTGAAAAAACAGTTAGTAAACGTGTTTATGGACCGAAATAATCAGGATAGAGACCATAACTCAGTACCGAACTCTGATCTCTATTTAAATTATAAAGTTTTGTATGCCCGGTTCATTTCTTTCAACAAGTTGGTTCCATCTCTAATCCTTAAATTATCCAAAATTTTAGTCTAAAGTCAAAATCTAATTAACAAGATAATCCACCAATTCAATAAGCCAAAGCATAAATTAATAAGTCGCACAGAATATCAAGCACCAGAACAGTTAAATCATATAAAAATCTTAACCAAAATCAATACAAATAGATGCTTCAAAAGGGTCTTCAGAAATTTCGAGAAATCAAACATGTGGCTACAAATAAAAAGGATAAGGAAAAGAAAAAAGCTACAAAATCAAAATAGTTCATAAGTGAACTTACAGCTCTTTCCTCTAAGCTATAATTCTTGCTACCCAAAAGTCCGGAGAGCTATTCTCTTATGCTCTGCTCAATTTTTTTGGAGAACACCAAACAAAAAAAAAAAAAAAAAAGCAGAGAGAGACTTGAGGAGGTGTTGTGCTGTGAGAGAAGACAAAAGCAAAGCTTATCCAAAGTGCCTGTGCAGTTTCCAGTTTTATATAGTAGGTGTGAAGTTGACATAAGATATTTGGTGGGAGCTGTCAAGTTAGAAAGTCAATCTTGTCCTTATTCAAAACACATTTACTGGACTATATTTTGGTAAATTGTAGCCTTTTTTTATTGCATTTTTTTAAATTTTTTTGTAAAAAACTTACTGTAACGATTTGATATATATGAAATAAAAAGATGATTAGAAAATATGTTTATGCAAAGCGTAGCAATTTTTTTAAAATTGCTATCCAAACAAGGCCTTAGTATTTCGTGATTACTACTTTGTTTTTTAAATCCTAATTACATGTTTTTGTGTTCTTATTTATGAAATTATAATGGAATTGCTATCAACTTTAATGTGATAAAAGAGACTTTAAATCAATGTCCTGTCTTAGTTTTATTCATTAATAAACATCTCAATGTATATTGTCTTTTTTTTTTATTGAAACCTTGAACTTAATAACCAGAAGGATACTTAGTAATTTGATCTAACTTCATTTTGTATAAATCGAGCAAAATTAATGTATAAAACTACCTTAATGATCCATTGATGTACCACTTGATCCTTTTTTTTTTTTTTTGAAAAATATAAAGTTACAAAAGACTTTAATTAAAATTGAGGAGGTCAGTATAACTTACCAATATTTCTATTTTGCAATATTTCGTGTAATTAGTGACGCTTATATGTTACAAAACTTTGAGATATTTGGTGGGTGTAGTTATGTAATTTTGTTTTCTCCAGTATCAAGCGATGAGTTTTGATCAAATAAGAACGCATTAAAAGCACGAGATTTTATTGAAAGGTTATGACTCTTGAGATTAATTCGCCCGTGTTCAAGTTATGTAGTAGCGTTTCAATGTTTTTTTGTCAAGACTATTGGTTCTACAAAATAGGAACACAATAAATGTATGAAATTTTGTCAAGAACCGTTGTGACTCTTGAAATTATTCTAACCGTGATCAAGCTGTGTGGTAGGGTCTTGAAACATTAAATAATTTCACATTGAGGCAAATTTGAAAGTATTTCTATTTACAAAACATTAAAATAATGTGGATTATTCTATGGCTAAAAAAGGTTCTTTATTATGGTACTTTGTAAGAAATTGATTAGCAACCGCTGTGTGATTAAGGTGTAAATAGATAACATGAGAAATTGGATACTTGGTTTTCTATTCTTTTTAATCCATTTTCTTCTAGATACCCTTAGTTTGCCATAAAGAAATCTAACAATTTTTATTGGCTTTTCTTAACATTACTCATTTGGCAATATAATTTTAATGCCCTTATTTTGCTCATTAATATATGTCTTTGATTTTCTTAAAAGACATTTTATGCATTTGCAAATAATTTAAAATGCATTAAGAAAAATTATTTTCATAAAAATTAACTTGACATTTAAAAACTAAACATGTAAAGAATTTATTGAAATGAAAATGCACAAATAGAGAGTTATTTGGCAGGGAGAATCGATACCAATCGTACATCTTTTTTAAGACAAACAATTTCAATAAAGGAAGTAGAATTGTAGGTTTATTTTTTGGATTGATTTTTTCTATACTGACAGTGTATACAATTAGGGGTGTGCATTCGGTGCAAAATCGGTAATTCGGTGCACTGAATTCGGTTATTCTACCTATAGAAATCTAAACCGTTTTCAATTCCGAATTAGCCATAACCGAATTCATACCGTAACCGATTTCAAATTCGAAAACGGTAATGAATTCGGTTTAACCGAATTCATCTATTAAAAAAAAGTAATAATTTATCTATTAATTTAAACTAGAATAAACCTTAGACTATACAATAATTGGTGATAATTTATGAATTTATAATTTACAATGATTAATCATAAGTAATATTAGTTAGTAGTTACAATGAATTTATAATTTACAGTGATTAATAATAAATAATATTAGTTACAAACTTACAAATTACAATGATTAGTGATAAGTTATATTAGTTACAAACTTATAATTTATTTCAAATCAAAATAAAAACTTATTTACTTACACGTGTTATTGTGAAAGTCAATACACTAATACATTGATTTACAATTCATATGCATTCACTTACACTGCTTAGTTGTCTTGTCTATACTTAAAACCTTAAATTAGTAAATAGATAATATGAATTTTAACTTATTTGATAACTTATACCTAGAATCATTAATCTATGATTTAAGGAACACAATGATTAGTGATAATTTATGAATTCATAATTTACAATGATTAATAATAAGTAATATTAGTTACAAACTTACAAATTACAATGATTAGTGATAAGTTATATTAGTTACAAACTTATAATTTATTTCAAATCAAAATAAAACTTATTTACTTACATATGTTATTGTGAAAGTCAATACACTAATACATTAATTTGCAATTCATATGCATTCACTTACACTGCTAACTACTTAGTTGTCTTATCTATACTTAAAGGCTAAAGCCTTAAGAATTAAGATTAGTGAATAGATAATATGAATTTTTATGTTAAATATGTAGAGTACACTAATACTTGCAAGTTACAGATTACGCATTCAAATATTCAATAATTCAAACATGAATGCTATATCAAATTACCAATATGTAAATTCTAATTATGAATTATTTTTATTGTTTAATATTTAGTATTATACATATATGTATTAAATATTATCTAATTCTAGTCATGTTACTCATGTATAAAATAATAAGTATTATAGTTATCTTATATTGTTATGTATTACTATATATTTGTATTATTATAGTCATATAACAATTAACAAATACTAAAAGAATATATTCTACATTATTATATATTATTATTATTATAAGTACATGATATGATGATAATACCATATACTAATTATTATTAATAGCATTTACCTATATAATATAATAAAGTATTAGTAGTATATACTAATACTAAATAACATTTATCTATATATTATATAATTTTATATATCAATTTGGTAATTCGAATGCGGTAATGCGGTACCCGATTTCAATTACCGAATTTAAATGCGAAATTGGTTATTACCAAATTCATAATCTCATTACCTATTTTATATCATATTAGAATTCGGTGAATTCGGCATGTACCGAATTTGTACCAAATTACCAAATACTCGATTTCAAATTACCGAATTGAATTTGAAATCGGTTATGAATTCGGTAAGAACCGAATTTGCTCACTCTTATTTACAATGTCAGCTTTTTGTGAATGATAATTATACAAAATTTAAATTTGAAATCTAAATTTTGCACATGTGTCATGAATTTATTAGTGATAGTTTATATATTATCAGTGTATCTAAGATTTATTCTTATTTATTATTTGTAGTTGATAATTTAAGGGTACCTGATTTAGTGGGTAATTGATTAGTTTTTCAGTTGAAGTAAGTGACCGATTTTGCGAGTATTTTGCACTTGTGATGGGTGATTTAGAAATACCCTTAGATGACTAAATTACAACCCGTAGCACCATAATAGTGCACTAAACATGGTAAGTTTTGTGCGTAAAGATATTTTTTAAACACAAATATAAATTTGGTCCAAAACTCAACATAGCCTCTTTTTTTTTTGGAGATGTGAAAGCACCCCAATATCAAAAGGAAAAAGGAGCAGGAATAGTCGTGTTGTCTTTGCTAAATAGTGCAATACATTTTGAACAATATGTAATTCTTTACAAATTATTTGCACAATTTTATAGTAAAAATGCATTAATATATTACAAATGAGATCCATATGAATAGTCACTAAATATTACACACTTCTATTGTATAGTTGTACAAACTAGTTAACCATGAAATACGACATACAAAATAATTAATAACAAATTACATCTTATTAAAAAAATTATTACATAGTTCAGTAACTATTGTACTGCCCACTGCTACTATCAAATGTAAGGATGACAATGTGTGGCCACCCATCCTGTGGGGGGCTAATGGGGCGGCGGTTGTATGACAACCCCACCTTCCCTTAAGATGAACCAGAGGGTTCGGCGGACCGCCTGTCCAACTCTTGTCAGAACTACTAACGAGCCAAAAATAGTAAATTACAATTCAACACTAAAAGTCATAATATAAGATATCAAGTATCTCCAATATTTCCACATCAAACCAAAGGCTACACTATTACATTACATTTGTTTCACCAAAATACTATAAGTAGCCAGATGTATCCCAAGTACAAAATTATTAAACTTATACAAAAGGAAATCCTGTAACCACCAACCTCCAGTTTACAACCTGTTAAAGAATCCAAACTTAAAGGAGTGAGCAAAAGCCAGTGAGTTCAAGAAAACATGCAAGCAAATAATGTCAATAAACATCCATTTCACAATTTATACAAACGTCAAAAATTCCCAAATAAATACACAAGTGCATAAATAAAAGTTCAAACAAGGGAGGATACGGGAACCCTCAGGAGCTAGTCCGCCGCTTAATCTAGATTCTCATGAGTTGACACTCCATCAATATAACCACAACAAGTCTGTAGAACAACCTTTACTACCACTCTCCAACCACCGTTTCAAACCCCCAACCGGGCCCGCTCGTCAACAATGAATTATTTGGTAATACTCGAGTATACATAGTCGGTGAACGCATTCCAACCGACAATAAATCAATAAAGAGCCATGGCTCACCAATCCCTCGGCCAAGCCCTTGTTGGCCCGACGTGAAAGGCTTACCAATGAGTTTTCGACGTCCCCAGCATGTTCAAGCAATAGGTAAGATGATGAGACAACACTCAATCATCAGCCAAGTACAAGTGTAAGTTCAATATTCAAGTACAAGCAAGACAAATTGAGACAATTAAGAGAGGTCGGACGAGATAAAGTACACATCTGCCTCATCAAGTGTAGTGTATATATATAAATCGACTCCATTTCTCTCATCTCACTAGTGTACCCCGAACACAATACTTATCTCTTGTAACTTCTGTCTAATGGTCGAGCCTAAATCCGTACGTGAAATTTAAATACTCA